CTCGACCTTCCCGGCCTCTGCTGGGAGCTCCTCGATCGCGTCGACCACTGGAGCCTCTCGTCCGAGATGTCCCCGCTGGAGGATGGGGAGGGCGGCGAGGTGGATGCCGTTCACCCGCCTTCGGCTTCGCGCCGAAGTATTCGCGGTCCTTCCGGGCCGCCCTCTTCAGCTCCTTGTTCTGCTTCCACGTCCGTCCCGCCGGACGCCGACCCTCCATCATGACCCAGAACTCCTCCAGCTGGTCCTCGCACAAGTTGAGGTCCTCCAGCCCCGCGAGCAGCGCCTCAGCGTCCCAAGCTGACTCCTCTCCTGAGTCGCCCTCGACCTCCTCGTCGTAGTCGTAGTAGTTGGCGTCGTCCTCCTCACCATCGGCACCTACCTCTGACCGACCAGGGGGAGGAGGAGAAGAGGTCTGAAAAGCACCGCTCGCGGCCTCACTGGCACCCGGGCCGAAGCCCTCACTCTCGGCCAGCAGCGCCGCGCCGCTGCGACCGGGGAGGAGCCGCTCGGCTCCTCCGGCGTCCATCTGCTTCAGCGCCCGCGCCACGTGCTCGAAGTCGGTCCTGCCCTGGGTCAGGGTGCGCAGGTTCTGGACTCCCTGTGCTGATAGTCCAGCTCCTTCCTCCAACAGTAACCCCTTCAGCTTGGAGCTCATCCAAAGATCCATGCCTTCGGCCTCCTGAAGCTGGGCCTCTCGTCGGTGGACGAACTGCGTCAGCCCCTCCTTGGTCTCCCTGGATGCCTCGAAGAAGGCCTTCCTGCCGGCACGCCGGAGGTCGTCGCCCTCCCGCTCGCCAGCCATGAGGTCCATGCGCTGAAGGATAACGTCAATCCGCTCTGTCGAGCACAGCTTATCCTCACTGATGTCCTCGAACTTGGCCTGGAAGCTGTACTCGAAGAGCTTGAGAAACTTCTCGGCACGCCTCCAGAGCTTCACGTCCGTGTTCGTGTTCCAGCGCCTAAGCGCTCGCTTCCATTGTCGGTAGTGGGCCCACCCGGGCCAGGTGGGTGGGTCGCTGAAATCGCCTCGACCCCCCCAGCCTCCACCGTCTCCGGCGTCCCACGCCGATCTCCGGCGGTCCGCCCAGCTGCCGTTCCAGTCGCCTGAGCTCCAGGCCTCCGTGGGCCCGGACTTGCCCTGGCCGCCGTCGCAGCTGTTCCAGCCTCCGCCTGTGTCACGCCACCGGCCTTCTCCTCTGGCGTCCTTGTCTCCATCTTGGCGATCTCGCTGGAGACCCTCGCCTCCAGCCTCACGCTCCCCACTGGGAGCTCCTCGATCACGACCCTCTCGCCAAGGATCCTTGCCGGTGTCGTGCCACTCGTCATGTGACTTCTCCTCGTGAGCGACCCCTCGATGACCTCCTCCGTCCGGAGCCCCTGATCTGATAGTCTCTGACACTACACTCTTGATCAACTCCCTGAGCTCCTCGCGTCGGATGGTCACCGTGGCGTTCTGGCTGCCCGAGCTGCTGCCTGGAGCCTCCTGGCTGCCAGCGCCCACGTGGAACTCCGTCGCCTCCGTCCCCGCCTCGCCGTCGGCGGGCATGATCACCTTGGCCGTGGATCCCACGCTGCTTCGTCAGTGCGAGCGCGGCCGCGGACGAGGGCGCGCGAGCGGCGGGCCGCCTACCTCGTGGCAGGGTCGCCTCCGCCCATGGCACCTCGCCCAGGCCACGCTCCGCTACCAACTGTGGCAGACGGAGACAGACTAGGTGTTTTACCCTTGAGCCACATTGGTCACGGACAGAAACTCCTGACGCTGAACCTATCAGTGAAAATCTGCCTCACTGCAACAGGAGGAGGAGGAGGAGGAGGAGGAGGAGGAGGAGGAGGAGGAGGAGGAGGAGGCAGAGGAGGAGGAGGCAGAGGAGGAGGAGGCAGAGGAGGAGGAGGCAGAGGAGGAGGAGGAGGAGGAGGAGGAGAAAAAGGAGGAGAAGAAGGAGGGGGGGAGAGGGAGGAGGAGGTCAGGAACCTCTGCGCAGCATACCGCGGCGGCGGCCCCGGCGTCACGCCCTGCCCCTGCAAGATGTGATGGCGCGTCGCTCCGCTTCCGCGGGGCGGGGAGCTCCGGAAGGCTCGGGACGCTGGCGCCCGGAAACGGGGGCGAGGTATGAGCGTATCGCGCCGAAGCGAGGAGCAGAGCGAGGAGGAGGAGGAGGAGGAGGAGGAGGAGGACGAGGAAGAGCGAGGAGGGTGAGGAGGAGGAGGAGGAGGAGGAGGAGGTCGCTGCTGGACTGGGGTGACCGTCGGATCCAAGATTTCGTTGTCGATCTTTGTTGGCGGGCACTGTTCAACCCTTCCGGGCAGCCCAGCGATGTCAAATTTTGCGCGGCGGCTGTACGACGACGGCGGTTGCGCGAAAGGAGCGTGTTTGAAACCATTAATGTTCGCGCGCGGCATAGCTAAAGCAGAGGGGATCTGAACGCGAAATGTTAGTTTCCAGACCATGTTTGTGATTGTTGTTGAACACAGTGCCCCTGCATCGCAAGGGTATGTATATGATTTCAGAACGAATCAGTTGGTTTGATACTTTTGTCGATTTTACCTGCTCGGTTTGTTCATTGTTTTGAGCTTTTGGTCGAAATCGACCGTGCGGTCAGTCAATCGAGTTTCGGCCGTTGTCAAAATCTCGTAAGCGGGGAGTTGCCGGTTGGACCGAGATGACGTTGTTATTTCCAAGGGGTGGTTACCCTTGAAGACTAGGTTTATGTTGTCGTTGTTTGTCCTGCGCACTCGGTTTCACAAGAGTGTGCCGAGTGAGCAGGAAGAACATCAGCCCCGCGACTCCAACGAAGGACCCATGGGGGTCCATCCGGAAGGAAAGAACTTCTGGGGCGCCCAGGAAATACTAGTTGTACGGTAGTCGGAGGGTTCAAGGGTTCCAATGACAACTCGCGCGCGGAAAAAGAAAAAACATCCATGCGCCGCCAAGGGTCCCGGGTTTAACGGGTCGCCGCGAAGGTCGACCCCCCCGCGGAAAGAAAAGAAAAGAAATCCGGCCAGGGGGTTGGGGGGGTTCAGGCATGAGTCGCGGGGCTGATGGAGGAATCGGCCGCGCGACTTCTTGATTCGCGGGTCGAGAGCGCACCTCTTGGGTCGAAGCTAAGCGGGCCTCGCAGAGCTTGAATTACGCAGAGAAGGAGAAGGAGAAGGGGGGGCGCAGCCTCAGAACGAGGCCGGGAGGAGGCAAAGCCTCGGAACCCGGCCGCGCGACACGCTGAAGTAAGCAATAGCTCCTGACAGGATACGCCACACGCCCGCACCGATCCTGGCCGGGGCCCATGCTGGGCCCGGGGCTGGTGCACACGCACACATGCACGCCCTCCTTCAGGAGGGAAAGGAACACACAGACACAATTAATCGTCGATTCCCCAGAAAATATGGGAAAATATGGGAAGTGGGGGGGAAAACAGAAACCCAGAAAATATATGAAAATATGGGGAATATGTTTATTTGTGTGTATTTATTTGTGTGTGTCCTGGGGCCCCTTCACTCCTGGCCTGTCTAGGGAGGGCGCGCATGCCCAGACATGCTCGCGTCGCGAGCAAAAGTCACGGCGGGAGGCTTTTGGCAGTCTCCGCCCCTCTGGGGGCCCTCGCCGGGCCCCAGGACCGTCCGACTACTCGCCGCGGAGATCCCCACATGATGTGTGTGTGTGTGTGTCGTTATCTTGACACGTCTCACTGAACGTTTTGTCTTTACATATCTGGGTGTGTCTCTGTGTTGGCGCCCCCCCTTGGTGTTGAAACCAGAGCCTCGCTCGGGACATCCTCACGGTCTGCTAGAGGAGGAGGGAAGAGGAGGATAAGGCGAAGAGAGACGTGAGGATGGGAGTAAAAGGAGGGAGGGGGAGGATACTGAGAAGATGGGGATGAGGAGGAGAACAGGATGAGGAGGAGGAGGAGGAACAAAAAACTCTTCTCCTCCTCGTCCTCGTTCTCCTCCTACTCCTACTCCTCCTCCTCCTCCTCCTCCTCATCCTCCTGTCCTTCTTCCTCCTCCTCCTCCTCCTCCTCCTCCTCCTCCTCCTCCTCCTGGCGCCTTGCTCGGGACATCCTCACGATCTTCTCTGGCCCCCACACGAAACCCTGGCCCTCCACAGGAAGCAGAGAAACCTGGGCCACCAGACAGGCAAACCGATTCAGACATCCCCGCAGTCTTAGCCTTAGCGCGAACGGCCGAGTATCCGAACCCCAACCCCCCCGCGGCTCCCCCTTGGGGTGCTGAAGCCAACGCTCCACCTGGGGATGCTAAAACCAGCGCCTCGCTCGAGACATCTTCTCAAGCTGCTCTGAAAGCAAAGGCGTCCAAGAAACCAAGCAGGCAAACCGCCTAAGACATCTCCAGAATCTGCCCGCGAACGCTCCCGTGCAATACCCCTGGCGGCCCCCCCCCCCTTGGGGTGCTGAAGTCCGCGCCTCGCTCGAGACATTCTCACAGTCTCCTCTGAAAGCTGCGAAAATCGAGCAACCAAACAGGCAAACCGCCCGAGACATCCCCATAACCTGGCCACGCACGGGCCCGTTCAATGCCCCCTGGCGCCGCCCCCCCCCCCCGGTGGAGTGTTGAAACCGGCGCCTCGTTCGGGTCCCTGGGGACAGAGATCTCTGGGGATCGGCGCTGTGAACAAAAAAACATGCCGGAGGTCCCAAGGCCGCCCTGGGGCCGAGGAGGAGGAGGAGAAGGAGGAGAAGGAGGAGGAGGGGGAGGAGGAGGAGGAGGAGGGGAGGAGGAGGGAAGGAGGAGGAGGAGGAGGAGGAAGAGAGGAGGGGGGGGAGCGGGAGGAGGAGGACTGAGGAGGGAGGAGGAGGAGGAGGAGGAGGAGGAGGAGGGGGAGGAGGAGGGGGAGGAGGACGAGGAGGAGGAGGAGGAGGAGGAGGAGGAGGAGGAGGAGGAGGACGAGGATGTGGAGGAGGAGGAGGAGGAGGAAGAGAGGAGGGGGGGAGGGGAAGGGCGGGCAGGATAGGGAGGGGCGGGGGGGGACGCCCTCTGCGCAGCTCCTGGTCTGAGCTCTCGCCCGACGGCGCCGCCGCGGCGCCTCCCGCGGCCCGGCGGGAGCGGCGCACGACCTGGAGCGCCGCGGCCGCCAGCGCGACCGCCGCGGCGGCGACGGCGGCTGGACCGGCCGCGGCGCGGGGCACGGACCTCTGCACCGCCGGGAGGCGCCCGCACCCCCCAAAATCCTAAGCCGTCGCGGGAGACAGACCACGACCCTCCTCGAAAGCAAAGGCAAGTCTTGACTGCTGATCGGCGCGCGAAGCGCGGCCCGCGGTGTCAGATCTTTGTGCTTACAGTCGCCAATGTCGGCGTGCATCCCCAAATCCCAAGCCGCCGCGCAAACAGACTGCCCAGACATCTGGCCGCTCCAATTCTTTCGAGGCGTGGGCCCCCGAGGTCTCCACCACTTCCCCGTTGAACTGGCCTCTCGTCCCGAGTCGTTCGTTGACGGTCCCGAGGCCCAGCGAGGGCCCCCAGAGGCCGAAAAAGGTATAAAAAACCCGCCGCTGCAATTGTTGCTGAAGCGTCGGAGCTCTGGGTATAGGTCGCCCAACTTCGCGCGGTCGCGCCCCGCGATGCGGGGCGCGCGACTACCTCCGCGCCCTCGAGGCTTATCGCCCTCGCGCCGCCCCCTCTGGAGAAGGGCCAAAAACCACTTCGAACCACACCGCGACATGCGAAGCGCGATCCCCTTCGCGCCCCTGGGGCTCACCCAGAATCTCTTGTTTTGGAAGAGGAGGGTGGAGCGCGACCACAGGACGTCACCCGACTCGACCTGACCACAGAACCTCTCTGGCTCGACCTGACGGGCCGCTTGAGGCCCCCGGGAGGCTCCCACGAGGCCCCCGGGAGGCTCCCAGGAGGCTCCCAAACTGCCCCTCAGTGGCCATCGCTCGGACGTCCATTCCCTGTGCTTTTTTGGTTTCGTGCGTGGTTTTTTCGCCAAATGATCAGGGATGGTACTCGATGGTCCTCGCCGAAGGAAACATGCACACGTCCGAGCGATGCCAAGCCCAGAGGCCCCCGAGAGCGCTTCGAAGAGGCCCCGCGTCAGCGTCGTCGTCGCTGCCGCCGCCGCCGCCGCCGCCGCTCCCCATCTCCGGGTCGGCGGCGCCGGCCGCGCGGCCTTCGCAGGAACGACGGGCGGCTGCTTGCCGCCGTCGGCCCCTGGGGCCCTCGCCCGGCCCCCCGGACGGTCAGGGTACAGCTCGGGGAGGGGGAGGGCGGAGGAGGAGGAGGAGGGGGAGGAGGAGGAGGAGGTGGAGGAGGAGGAGGAGGAGGAGGGGGAGGAGGAGGGCGGAGGAGGAGGGCGGAGAAGGAGGAGGAGGAGGCCTGAACAGGAGAACCGCACAGCAAGAATTGCTCGGAGGTCCGCGCGGCTTCCCGCGGTCGGCGCGGGGGGGCCCCCGCTCATCAGCGGCGGCCTCCCTGCGCCGCCAGGAGGCGGCCATCTCATCCGAACGACGGAAAAAAAGCGGGTCTTACGCAAGATGGCATACTGACTACCCACCAGACCACCCCAACCCAACCCGAAGACCCGAATTTCGGGTTGGGGGGGGGTTAAGGGTTCCACATGTGTTTTTCCGATGTTTCCCGACACCCCCCCCACTGGAAATCGAGGGTAAATCTGAGCCTTCGGGTTGGGTTGGAGTGGTTTGGTGGGTGGTGACATACAGTCGGGGCGCTGAAGAAGGAACCCTTTTCGTTGGGGAGGGGCTCGGTGTTCCTCGATTGTTTCAGAGTTTGCCTCGGGTTTGCCTAAGGTTTTCCACGGGAAATCGAGGTTGAACCTGTTGGGAAAAAGGGGCCTCGTTCCTTATTTAGGGTTCCTTAGGTCAACGCCTCGACTGTAGCGACCTTGTGCCGCGGCTTGCGCGGCATGCTGCGTTGGAGTCGAGGGCGCTCACGCGCCATCTCACGCAAGCAGCGTGCACACGAACGTCCGCACAATCGAACCCGCCTTTCTGCGTCGCCGGATTTCTCGGAGGTCCGCGCGGACTTCTTGAAGCGGCGCTGGGGGCACCCGTCCATGGCGCGGGGAGCGCAGAAGGGGCGGTGACGGAGATGCCGCCAAGATGCACCGACGCCGATCCAAGAAGTCCGCGCGGACCTCAGAGAAATTATGTTCATGCGTCTTTGCGTGCTCGAAGTACCGTCAGACTTTAGAGGTTTTTAGAAACGCGGCTTGGGCGCCGCTGATGTTACGCTTTCAAATCTGGGATCGGCCCGTGGTCGACCTTGCGTTTTCGGATACGCTTTCAGATATCACATTGCCGCCTGCCTGACGCCCACTTCCGGGGATGCCGTTTTAAGCACGCTCTGGTGAGGTCAAGAGCGAAAAGTGGGAAACCGAAACAAACAACGCCTCCAGCGCTTTCTAGGAACAACTAGAAAAGCCCCCACCCCAGACCTCCAACGCCTCGAGAAACGCCACGCGGAATTTGGTCTCAGCTCTCGGCCTCCGGGAGCCCTCGCCAGGCCACTGGGCTGCTGATGCGCACTGGGCGGGCGACTCTGTCGGAGGGAAAGCAACGAGATGTGGCCGGCTGTTCCACAACGGCGCTCTCCTTATTCCGTTCGTCAAGGCTCAAGGGGCGCCACCACTCTCGCCACCCGAGCCCGAGTTCGTGGTACGGGGTGCTGAGACCTACCTGAAGGAGCTCCTGGGCGAGAAGATACTGGTGGTGCTGGAGAGTGATACTAGCAACGTCCTGACTAAGGTGGAAAAGAAGGGTGTCGGCAAGATGCGACACATCGAGCTTAAGGACCTACTTATGGATCAAGGACCTCGTCGCCAGGAAACACGAGACAAACGTGAGCACGAAGAAGATACACACCGACGTTAACACAGCTGACATCGGAACCACGCACCTGACCAAGATCGATGTCATGAGGCACCTACGTGAGATGGGAGTTCGACTGAGTGGGAAAGACGAAGTTGGTGGAATTGGGGACGGCTCAGCACTAACAGGTAAAGGATGCAGAGTTGCCAAGCTAGTCGTGGAGTTGATCGAGGTGCTGACGCGGTGCCTGGTCGGAATTGGTGGTATACTACGGTTGGGTCAAGCAAAGGGAGCTGATGTGATGATGTTTCACCAGGCTAGCAAATTGCTAACTACCCGGAAGAACAGTGACTGCCATGTTGGCTATGTGGATTTCGCTGTCTACATGTGGGTGACGATGCTGGTCAGCGACATCATCGGGAACCTGATGTTCAAGACTGGGAGCTGGACTGCGCACACATCCAAGAAATACGGCGCCTCTACCCAGTACAATGTGGAAGACGTCCGCGGCGGCAGAGGGAGCAAAACCACGATCGAGGAGGAGCTGACTAGCATTAGGTCGGGCATGTCCTCCTATGGACGAAACATCAAACATATTCAAACAATATTCAAAAATAGTCCAGAAATGCTCAGATAATCGTCCCCTGACTATTTCTGGACTATCTTTTGAGTATTCCTCCTGTAGAGGGACAGGCCCCGACTTAAAACTAGCATCCTCAACGCCAGCACGGTCGAGGAAGCGAGGTCTCCTTCTGCCGCAGTGCTCTGCCGCTCGGGCCGAACGCCAGGCACCGCGCGACGGCCACGCGCACCAAGCTGCCGACGGCTGAGATCGAGAAGTAGGAGGAGGAGGAGGTTGCTTATCTGAGCCACCCAACTTCGCGCCTTCGCGCCTTCGAGTTCTCACGGAGGAGGAGGAGGAGGAGGAGGAGGAGGAGGAGGAGGAGGTGGAGGAGCAAGAGGAGGAGGAGGAGGAGGAGGAGGAGGAGGAGGAGGAGGAGGACGTTCAGTCACCGACCTTGACGGTTTCCTCCTTCCAGAGTGGACGAGCCAGCCACTGCGGAGGCGAGAGCTCCCGGCGGCGGCCCCTGCTTCGACGTGCTGCGGCCGGGCCCGAGGAGGAGTCCGGGACTCTTCGTCGGGCACGGAGAGGCTCTCTCTGTGCGAGGACGCTGTGAGGCACTCTGTGCATGCTCGAGGGAGCGTGTTGACTTGTACTGTCGGGGAGACGTAAGACCCGGGTACGGGGGACTCGGAAATCCCCGACGAGGTCGTCAAAAAAATGACGAGGCCGAGCCTGCATTTTGACGAGGCCTCCCGCTGCAGACATCCCACGAAACTCCTCCTCGTCAAAATCCGAGTCGCGGTCGTCAAAAAACGATGGCGAACCCGAGTCCCGGCAAACCCGGGTCTTACGCTCCCCCGATACTGGTGAGGACCCTCTCGAGCTCAAATTGAGTCTGAAGAGAAACGCCTTGTTCCTCTCCATCTTGCGAGGGAGCACTCCGTGGAGCCCAGCTCCGCCTGCCCACGAGAACCCAAGACACAACTTCAGGAATTGCACCTCGGGCAGACTGTCTCGTTTCAATCCCGACGTGCTCCGTGATCCTCCGCTCTGGCCTCGCGGGGGGTGGGTGCTCCGTGTTCCTCCGCTCTAGCCTGGGGGCGGGTGGGTGGGCGTTGACCCGAGATCCTGGAGCGGGGCGAGAATCATGACAGGCGGATTGAAGACACGTCTCATCGTCGGGGTGGCTCCACTGCATCCAGAATCCTGCCCCAGGTCTCTGCTGGGAGAGGTGGGTGTGGATCTGTTCTCGTCCGCAGAAAAGGGCGGGGAGAGAGGTTCCCATAATTGCCGACCGCCGACCCCGAAGCCCCGGGACACGATCCCCGACGAGAGGCGGCTGTGGAGAGCTTTCTGGGGGGGGGAGGGACCCTCTGGCAGGGAAGAGCTCGAGCTCCTCCAGCGCGCTGTCCTTCTGGACGGCGTCCTCCGCGGCACCCTTCGCAGGCCCCTTTGCGGCCGGCGCGGCGCCGTCGCACTTCGCCGTGAACTTCGCGCAGCCGGGGCCCTGGTCGTCCTTCACGGCGTCCCGGGCGTTGGCGCCGACGCAGGCCGTGAACTCGCCGCTGGCGCAGACCCACTGCGAGGCGCCCTTGGAGTCGTCCCAGTAGGACAGGTCCCTGCTGGTCAGGTTGAAGGTGACCTCGGTGGCCTTTCCTGGCTCCACCAGGACCTTCGCAAACCCCTTGAGGACCCACTCGGGGCGGATCTCTGGCTCGCCGGGCACCGAGTCTGGGAACTTGAGGTACAGCTGCGGGACGTCCTTGCCAGCCGTTTTGCCGTCCTGTGAAAGCGAGACTTGCACGGTCGCGCCGTCACTGCTGGGCGTCGCGGCCTTTACCTTGTACTCAACAGAGCCACTCCCGTACGCGAAGAGCCCATAGCCGAACGGGTAGTTCGGTTCGATGTCGTTGGCATGGTACCACCGATATCCGACCAGCGCCCTGTCTGTCAGTGTCCAATACTTCTTGTTCTTGATCTGGTCCCCCAGCGGAATGCTTCCATCGAATTCGTCCTTCGAGACCACAAGAAATGTGTCACCGAGCGGTGTGCACTGTTCGGTGGCAACTCATGGGGGCCTCTCATACTATCTTGTCGGCTCCTGCGAATCGAAGTTGATCGACGCTAGTCGACACTAAATCGACGCTCGCCGACGCTAAATCGGCGCCACCTCATCGACTCCCAGACGCTGATCGACGCTAGCCGACGTGAAAGACGGAATTCAGAGGGTATACCAGGCTCTCATGATTTGCCACCGAATGCGCAGTGGGGTGTCTCAAGGCCCCGTCGAGTTCTCACGGAGGAGGAGGAGGAGGAGGAGGAGGAGGAGAGGGAGGAGGAGAAGGAGGAGGAGGAGGAGGAGGAGGAGGTGGAGAGCAAGAGGAGGAGGAGGAGGAGGAGGAGGAGGAGGAGAGGAGGAGGAGGTAGGAGAGGGGAGAGGAGGAGGAGGAGGAGGAGGGGGAGGAGGAGGAGGAGGTGGAGGAGCAGGAGGATGTTGCTTATCTGAGCCACCCAACTTCGCGCCTTCGCGCCCCGCGGATGCGCGATCCTCCTCGCGCTCCCCGCGCCGCCACCCCGGAGAGGGGCAGGAGGCGCGAGGCGCGAGGATCTTCGCGCCCCCGCGGGCGACCCAGATGAACATGCGGCAGGCTCGTGTCGTGACGACCCTGGCGCTGGTTGCTGACACCGCGCCGATGGAGCTCGCTACAGTGGGGCCACGACGTGTGTGCGATTCCTGGAGCTGCGGCCTTCGGTGGAGCCCTCACGTGGGGCCACGAAGCGTGTGACGGGGTGCGCCGATCTGGTGTGGACCAGGCGTGCGAACGCAGCCACTGGGGCCTCAGATGGAGCTCCCTACTTTTGGGTCATGACACGTGTGAGGGGTGCACCCACATGGTGTTAAAGCATGCGAACACAGCCACTGAGGCCTCAGGTGGAGGTCCCTGTGGGGCCATGAAGCGTGTGAGGTGTGCGCCGACATGGCGTAGACCAGGCATGTGGACCCAGACTTGTGGGCCTCAGGTGGAGCTCCCTATGTGTCCACGAAACATGTGAGAGGTGCGCCGAAAATGTGTGGACCAGGCATGCGAACGCAGCCGCTGGGGCCTTAGGTGGAGCTCCCTATGGGGACACGAAACGTGTGAGGGGTGCGCCGACATGGCGTGGACCAGGCACGCATACACTATATTGTTGGGCCTTAGCTGGACCTTCCGATGAGGCCACAGAACGTGTGAGGGATGCGTCGAAATGGCCTGGACCAGGCATGCGAACCCAGATTTGTGGGCCTTAGGTGGAGCTCCCGATGGGGACACGAAACGTGTGAGGGGTGCGCCGGAATGGGCGCGGTCACGCATGCGGACCCAGACTGTTGGGCCTTAGGTGGAGCTCCGTATGGCACCGCGAAAGGTGTAAGAGTTGCGCTGACATGGCCTTGACCAGGCATGGAGGCCTAGATTTGTTTGGGACTTAGGTGGTGCTCACTGTGGGGCCACGGAACGTGTGAGGGGTGCGCCGACATGGCGTAGACCAGGCACGCGGACCCAGACTAGTTTGGCCTGAGGTGGAGCTGCCTACTATGGGGTCATGACACGTGTGAGAGGTGAGCCGAAATGGCGCGGACCAGGCACGTGGACCCATATTTGTGGGCCTTGGATGGAGCCCCCAATGGGCCCACGAAACGTGTGAAAGGTGCGCCGACATGGCATGGACAGGGCATGCAGACCCAGAAAGCGTTGGGCCTTAGGTGGTGCTCACTGTGGGGTGAGAGGTGCGCCGAAATGGTGTGGACCAGGAATGCGAACGCAGCCGCTGGGGCCTTAGGTGGAGCTCCCTATGGGGACACGAAACGTGTGAGGGGTGCGCCGGCATGGCGTGGACCAGGCACGCGGACCCAGACTAGTTTGGCCTGAGGTGGAGCTGCCTACTATGGGGTCATGACACGTGTGAGAGGTGAGCCGAAATGGCGCGGACCAGGCACGTGGACCCATATTTGTGGGCCTTGGATGGAGCCCCCAATGGGCCCACGAAACGTGTGAAAGGTGCGCCGACATGGCATGGACAGGGCATGCAGACCCAGAAAGCGTTGGGCCTTAGGTGGTGCTCACTGTGGGGTGAGAGGTGCGCCGAAATGGTGTGGACCAGGAATGCGAACGCAGCCGCTGGGGCCTTAGGTGGAGCTCCCTATGGGGACACGAAACGTGTGAGGGGTGCGCCGGCATGGCGTGGACCAGGCACGCGGACTTAGATCAGTTTGGCCTTGGGTGGAGCTACCTACTATGGGACCACCAAAGGTGTGCTCCCGTTGGGCCCACGGAACGCGTGCGAGGTATACCGACATGGCGTGGACCAGGCATGCGGACCGAGATTTTCGAGCCTTAGGTTGAGTTCGGCATGGAGCCACGGAACGTGTGAGCGGTGCGCCGAAGTGGCGTGGACCAGGAATGCTGACCTGTATCCTTGAGCCTCAGGTGGAGCTCCATATGGGGCCATGAAGCATGTGAGGGGTGTTTCGAAATGTACATGCGGAGGGCAGAGGCAGGGATGGGAGGCGGAAGGAGGAGGAGGAGGAGGAGGAGGAGTAGGAGGAGGGAGGAAGGAGAAGGGGAGGATAGGACGCGGAGCGCTGCGAATCCAAAACGAGGAGCCAAAACCACAGGATGGTTGGAAAACAAATGATTCAGGAATCGGCCCGCCCAGCTGCGCTGCCCTCCCTGCTTGCCAAGTGTTGCCCGGGGGAAAAGTAATGACCGCAAATGTTGACTAAACGAGCTGATTCGCCAGACTCGCTCTTAGTTTCAGGGGGGCGTAAGACCCGGGTACAGGGGACTCGGAAATCCCCGACGAGGTCGTCAAAAAAATGACGAGGCCGAGCCTGCATTTTGACGAGGCCTCCCGCTGCAGAAATCCCACGAAATTCCTACTCGTCAAAATCCGAGTCGCGGTCGTCAAAAACGATGGCGAACCCGAGTCCTGGCAAACCCGGGTCTTACGCTCCCCCGATAGTTCAACCTTAGTTCAAGCCTTCTTTTTCGGTGTCCCGAATCCTTCTTCGTGCACGCCTCCGACGAGCACTTCGGAAAGGTGAAGGGCAAGCGGCCAGACGCTTCGTACCCGTCATTGTACAACGCCTTTGCGATGCCTGCGCCGTTCTGGGTGCCTGGGAGCCACGTCATCAGGATCGCGTCCACGCCCTCGTCCCAGGTGCTCGTTATCATAGGGCCCGGAGCGTTCATGACGACGACCACTGGCGTGTCCATCTTGGAGTACTTCTTGATCAGCTCCACGTCCTCCTTCTCCAGCTGCAGCGTGCTCCTGGGGAACCAACAGGTACCAATACCGCCACTACCCAGAACTCTCCTCGAGTGCGTTCTGACCAAACTTTCAAAGCGAACCCAGCCATGGCGACGAGGGCCCCCCAGGAGGCCCAAAGAGAGGAGACGAGGGAAGGGTACTTGGCGGCATCGGCCCCTTTTCCTCCCCTGAGCTCCGGTCGCGTCCCTCCTCCGCCTTCTCGGGGACCACCACGATGACCACGACGTCCGCCGAAGCCGCATCGCCCCCATTGTCCAGGCAGGACGGCGCCGCCGCGCCGCTGACGTTGCTGATGCCGGCCTCGACGCTGATGTAGGTCTCCTGGCAGGCCATGCCGTTCCAGCCGCTGCCGCCGCCGATGGCCAGGGGGCTCGTGCTGCAGGCCTCGGATCCGACCAGGGCCACCTGCGCAGAGGGGAGGAGGCGGAGGAGGAGGAGGAGGAGGAGGAGGCGGGGGAGGAGGAGGAGGAGGAGGAGGAGGGTGAGGAGGAGGAGGAGGAGGAGGAGGAGGAGGAGGAGGAGGAGGAGGAGGAGGAGGGGGAGGATGGGAGGAGGGGAGGAGGGAGGAAGGGGGGAGAAGGGCAAGCTAGGTGCGCTCGCGTCATATCTGACGTCCTACCCCTCCCTCCCATCCCTTACCATGGCGCTGATTTTCTCTATCCGCGGACGCGTGTCGTAGCGGACCTGTGGCTCCGCGCGCGCGTGCGTAGTGGGTGGTGTGCCGTGCGTGCGTGCGTGCGTGTGTGCGTGGTTGTAGTGGTGGTGGTGGTGGTGGTGGTGGTGGTGGTGGTGGTGGTGGTGGTGGTGGTGGTGGTGCTGGTGCTCGTGCTGGTGGTGGTGCTGGTGGTGGTGGTGGATGGTGGTGGTGGTGGTGGTGGTGGTGGTGGTGGTGGTGGTGGTGGTGGTGGTGGTGGTGGGTGGTGGTGGCGGTGCGGCGCGGTGGTGGCGGGCGGATGGGCGCGCGAAAAAAAGGCCCGCGCTGGGGCGAGAACGCCATCCTGAACGACGGAGGCCAAACACCGATCCGAAAATGAGGCCCACGCTGCAGCGGGAGCACGATTCGGAACGATTCGGGAGCAGAAATGAGGCCGGCGCCTCAGCGAGAGCATCATTTGAAAAAAAGCAGGCGAAAACCCGTTCCCGGGAATCCTGTGTGTACAAAAACAATACGCGGGGGGCGTTCGGCCCGAAAATGACGCCGGCGCCTCAGCGAGAGTCGTTTCCCGGGATTTCCCGGGCATCCTGTGTGTAAAAAAACAGTACGCGTGAGGGGCGCGGCCATCACCCGGACGCCATCAGGGGGAGGGAGAGGAGGGGGAGGAGGGGGAGGAGGAGGGAGAGGGAGGAGGAGGAGGAGGAGGAGGAGGAGGAGGAGGAGTAGGAGGAGGAGAGAGGAGGAGGAGGAGGAGGAGGAAGGAGGAGGAGGGAGGGAGGAGGAAGGAGTAGGAGGAGGAGGAGGGGGAGGAGGAGGGGGAGGGGAAGAAGAAGGAGGAGGAGGCGCCAGGGGGGTCCAGGCGCCATCAAAGGAATCCACGTGGACCTCCGAAAGCTTATGTCTACGCCGCCTTCTCTTCTTCGAGCCACGCCCAACGGCGCGGCGACCTTTCGCGGTGGCACTGCGCGGGCTGCACCGATGGATGGGAAGTCGTTCTCAAAACACTGAGCTCTCGCCTTAGCGCCGCGTACACTCGTGCTAAAGCACTGCAGCAGCTTCGAGGATGGAGGCCGGCTCGTTATCAGAATTGGCTCTCGCCTGAGCGCCGCGCACGTTCGGTTTAACAGCCTGCAGCGCTTCTCGAGGAACAAAGAATAACAGAAACATAAACTGTCGGAGCTCCGTAAGGATTTCTTGGATCGGCGCTGAGACGCCCTCTCCCAAGCGCGCAGAGCGCGCCTGGGGCGGCGCCGAGGCGCCGCCGAGGGGCCCCAGCGCCGATCCACGAAATCCGCGCGGACCTCCGCAAGGCTATGCTTATGTGATTGCTTGTTCCTAGAGCTTGAAGCAATTGTCCTTCCTCTTGGTGATAACGGGCGCGACTGGGGGGGGGAGAAGTCTGGTCACGTCACGATTCCCGTCGGCGCCGTCTGAGAATGCTCAATGGTTAATTGCCCACACGGCCCCGACGCGAACCGTGACGTGACGGGCGGGGGTGCAGGGCCGGTCACGGGCGGCGTCGCGAATCACACAAGCAGGCTCAAAAGGCTGTGGATGCTTTCCCTGGCGTCCGCTGGTATGATTTTTCCAAGCCGCTGCCCTAGAGGTCTCGACCGCTTCCCCGGGGGAGTGAGTCTTCGCCCCGGGATCCGTTTTGGAGGCCCCCCTCTGAGCCCGAAGAGGGCTCCCGAGGGGGCCGAGGTCGAGGGGAAAAAGCGCCGAGGGGCCTGCCACGCCGAAGTATAAACAACGCTGAGAGGGAAAACCGAAGGGGAGGAGGAATAGGAGGAGGAGGAGGAGGAGGAGGAGGAGGAGGAGGAGGAGGAGGAGGAGGAGGAGGAGGAGGAGGAGGAGGAG